ATCACTCCTTAATCTTCCCTATAGGCTTGTAAAGCTGGAGGTGAAAAGGAAATGGGCTTCCCATTTCACAGATAGGAAAACTGAGGCCAAGAGTGGGAGATGGCTGGGTGCCTATTCATTTTGTCTTCAGAATCAAGACAAACCACCCCCCCTCAAATTCCTGAAGTTCCAGGCAATCTAATAATTCATAATGTTCAGGAAAATACTTTGGTTTTAAGTTGTGAGAAGAAAACAAATTTGTTTTCAAAAAAATTCATTCAAATAGTACGGCAGAGTTTAAAAAGTCCAAGTACCCAAGCCCACTCTTTCATCTCCTAGGTCCCACTATCCTTTGAAAAATTTTCTGTGTCTGCACAAGAAAACATGTTTGTCTATATATAATTTCCTCAAATCAAAAACATACCATAATGCTGTATTATAACTTTATTTTTTCATTTATGTTATACTTTCATTATTCTCTACCATTTATAGTTGACACATTAACTCATCAAGGTCAGTGAGGTGGGCATTATAATCCCAAGCAGTCTGGAAAACACGATATAGGCTGGGTATGAGGGGTTTTCAGGCGAGGAAACTGACTCGGAGAGGTGAAGTCATTTGCCGACTTTAGGCAGCTGTTTGTTGCTGGAGGCAGAGTTCATACTTGGGTTTTCTGGGTTCTAGTCCAGTGCTCTGACCACAAGAACAATGACAGCAGACCTGATGGGGGCTTCGTGACAATGACAGCGAACACTCCTGTGGCACCTGCCGAGGGCCAGGGACTTCTCTGGAGCTCTGGAGCTACTCCCTTGTTGGGTGTCCACCACATAACATCTCTGAGATGAGAACTATTATTCCCCTTGTTGGAACCCAGGTGAGGAAATTCAGTCCCAGAGCGCTTAAACAACTTGCTCACACTGCCTGGAATGAGAAATGCTGGGGTTCAAACCTGAATTTGCTTCTGGAGTCTTGCTTCTTCACTCATCCCCCGCACTGTCACCTCTGTTCCAGGTACTGTTAGACACTCTCTGAGTACGGTTAACTCCTGTGAACCCCATGCCAACTCTGTATCAACCACTAATAACAACCTCGGACCATGGGCAACTTCACCAGTGTCTCAAGCTCAGAAATAAGACATCCCCCAATGTCTTGTTTCTCCCCCTGGGAGACTTCAAGGGCCACATGACCTATGTGGATACTGAACAAATTTATCAGTGGCCCAAAAGGAACACCCGAGCAAATCTTGGAGCACAGTAACAATAACACGGATTATAACACCAGTAATCAACACCAATGGTAACGTCAGCCATCATGGGCTGAGTGCTTACATCCATCTCAGGGGTGTGCTACTGGCTTCACACACACCTCTTCATTCCATCTTCCTAACAACCCTGGGATGAAAGGATTGACATCTTCATATGACAGATGGAGAACTCAAGGGTCAGAAGGGGTAAATGTCATCCCCCGGGTCACATGGTGGATGAGCCGAGTTCAGACCCCCCATCTCATTCTGAAGCCTGGCTTTGTTTCTACCCACCCTATATCTTGTTTTCCAGACTGCTTGGGTCATCAGTATCTTCTTTCTTTTTCATTCCAAGACTTGGGACAATTTTAGCTGCCTGCCTGGGGAGGAGTGGTCAGTCTATGAAATAGCCTTTTCTATTTCAGAAGAATAATGTCTCCTGTCACAGATTCCATCTGCTCCCTCCTCTCCTGTAGAAGCACCCCCACCCCACCCCAGACTATTTGCATTTATAGGCTGGCCCGGCTGGAGATGTAGGTTTGAGCACCTCTACTTCCCCTTTGAAGTCTTACAGCATTTGGGATACGTGTCTGGACACTTTGAGTCTGCCCTGTATCACGGTTAGGTGGGTCCTTGCCAACTGCCCTACCAGGCTGTAGGTACCACCGAAAACCTCCAAGCACATAGTTAAGAGCTTGCAAATAAAAGGTGCTCAATAAACGAGCCCCACAGTCCCACGTTGACTTGAGATTTAGAATCAGACTTTCCTGGCAGCGTGATTCTCTTCATCATCAGCCTGCATTGAGGTCCCATCCCCAAACATCCCTCCTCCCATGGCTCGCGCTGGGGGAGAGCGAGTGCCTTCACTCCACCTTGCCGGGCACTGCAGGGTTGCAGAGGATGTAGGATGTGCTTGGAGCTGTCCTGGTAAGAATTTCAGGTTCAGGCCCAGGAAGCTGCTGTGGCTTTGTTTTTCCAGCATTCTCAGGGGCTGAAGGGTGTGAGGCTTCCCACGTAAGACAGCCCAGAAATCAGAGCCTGCAACTTGATGAACAGCTGTACTTTTGTGCAAATTAAGGAACGAAAACGTGTGTCTGTGAATGTCTCTCAAACACTGGTCAGCAAGGCAGAGTTCAGGTGCAACTTTCCACTGGTTACACCAGGGAAGGGGAGGGCTGGCATGGAGTTTACCTTCACCTAGGTGAGCTGGTGGCTATGGATGATTTGAGGGTTCATGTTCTGTGGCTGTGGGGAGGGGCAGACTGCTATACTACCAAAGAGGGCTCTTAGGGAGTCCCTGAAGCCTCCCCATAGCGCTTCCCCCTCCAGAGAGCCTTTCTGCCCGTGCCAGTGCAACTGGGCGCATATCTGTCAGGGAGCAGAATCACGATACTGTCCCTTGGGGTCTGTTTCCCCAACCGACAAGGGTCGGGCCCTCCTCATTTTCCCATTCCAGGTGCCCGGCCCTGAGAAAAGCCTCAGCGAATGCTGTGAGTGAATCAGTGACGCAGGCCTGGATTCAAATCCAGGCTCTGTTACTAACAGATGTGACCTTGGGCCACTTAATTGACCTTTCTGTGTCTCAGCTGCTTTAGCTCTGGAGTGATAATAATGGTCCTACATCCCAGGGTTGCCATGGGGAATTAAGGAATATTACAAATATAATTATTAGTGATTCTCCCCGTCGCTCTCTGCAGAGGAAAGGGGAGGAACTAGCAGTGCGGAGCGGATGTGACTTGAATGATCCGTCTTCCCTTTTTCGACTGTGATGACCCAGTCCTTAGCACCTTGCTCTGTGACAT